AGATTCAAGAAGAGAGAATGTGAAAAAATTATTCCAAGTTAGGTTGATAACAACATAAGTCAAAAAAGAAAAAAATTTAAAACTTCAAAAAAATATACTAATAAGCTTTCGCAATGTTCAAAGGTATAAATATTTTACTTTGAATTTTTAATAGCATAATTTTTTATAACATTTTATTGATACTGTTGTAGGACATCAAAAATACATTGGAAGTAGCTAGATCATCAACTATGGTGCAATATGGCTCCCATGTCAAATATGTTAATGCAAGTATAATATGACCCCCTGTGTCAAATGTGCTAATGCAAGTGCAATATGGCCCCCTGTATCAAATATGCCAGCACCATTGCTATATGGCCCCTTTTGTTAAACATTTGAAGCAATAGAATTTACTCAAACATTTAAAAAAGGTAAATTATATCGCTATATAAAAATATATTGAAACTTCTATTACAATAGAATTTCATTATATTGTTTGAATATAAACTGTTACAATGTTAATGTTAATGTTAGTGTCAATGTTACAAATACAAATCCAAATATGCACACAAATCCTAAGCTATGAAATCTTCATTTCAGTACTATTTTAGTCATCTTTCTCTAAGCTCAAGCAACAAGATACCTTTTTTTTTGTCAAGCTAGCTACCAATATATGCTTGTGGGTTGGTGCTTCTTTTTATTCTTCTTTTTTGTCATGCTTGCTTATTGTTTTGGTGGTTGCTATTTTCTTGTAATGCTGCCATGTATACTTGTAAGTTTGCTTCTTCCCATTTTGCAAAGCCTAGACACAATCTATAATCTGCATAATTTGCAATATATAAAATAGAGTATTTTATCAAGTTGCAACATGCAATGCCATAAGCTACTGTGATTGACAGTAGCATGTTCCAATTTACAAATTGAGAGGGTTGATTTAGAACTACTACTTCAAAAGAACAAAGCAAAAATGAAGAATGTGAATGACAAATATTACAAGTGGTTGTGTTATATTCAAAGAAGAGTAAAATTTTAAAGCTGTTAAATAAGGATACATCATATGGAAAACAAATGGAATAAAATATTTGCCTTAAGTATATAGATGAAAATGGTCTAAATTTGTAGATGTAATCTCTGTTTTGATTCACCTGATAGAACAAAAGCATTCATATTTAAACTTCAAGTAATAATGTGCTGATGCTATCCATATAGTCCTTTTGTTCAAAACATTTGAATAGGAATATATTAGTATTTTACATAGCTTTCCTATAAGCAAAGTTTAATTAGAGATTAAAAGCAAAAGACGTAACTTCATTCAGCATTTTTAAATTGCATATAATGCCATCACAATGCTGTTTTGATTATGCAATCCTTTTTCCCTCTAAAGACTTATTATTTTTTTCTTAAAATAAAGACAACTTCATCATGTTAATGATATCATGATATGAAATATCTCTCTTATCTAATCACAATCAGTAAGCAAATCCAAGGTAATCAAGGGTCTAACCTCAATAAAGATTACCAAGTTTGTAATTTGTAAAAATGGAGTTTCAAGTTTTTCATAGCTTAAAATAAATCAAAATCACTTGTTAAACTTTTAATTGGAGTAAAATAATATTTCAGAAGCGCAAGATACCTCAAAGGAGTAAAATGATTCAGAAATAATTGAAAAATGTCAAAGATTAAAAAACAGAGCAATGTGCCGCGACATGTGCACTGTAGTGGCTTCTTCTCTATGTCAAGCACTGCGGCGCCGACTTGTTGCACGTTATTAAATAGCATCTTTGGTGTCACTTGACAATAAATTCGAGCAATTTTTGACGTACCCCATTTCTCCGTCTAATGTCTGAATGAGATGATCTAGGTGTCTATAAAAAACTCTTTTCACAAGCTAGATAACGGCGTGGGTTTTACTTTCAAATTAAGTCACATAAAGAAGTTGGACACCTGAATATATTTTCAATCATTTTCACAATTTTCACAACATAAGGATATCTAAAACCCCACGTATGTGCAAAATGCCATTCCTAACATTCAAAAAATACTTAATGGATCTAAGACTAGCTGTATAACACACCATATGCAGCTAATTCCAATCATAATAAATTTTTACTCCTCAACCCCTATATATCAAAAATAAAAGGAGGGGGTTTTAGCATTGTATAATCCAATCAACATCCACAGTTACAATCAAATCAATACCTCTACATTTGTACTAGTATTTTGGCTTTATTAAACATTTAAACAACTTACAAATGATAATTGGGGGCTAAAATACATTCTAAGAAAATCACAAACATCAAAAGTGCAAATGTATGTAAAATATAATCTAATTGACAATAAATTAATCATTACACAATATAAATAAATTAAGAAGGCATTACAGTAGGAATACTCAAATTTCAAAGCCTCGAAGCCTTTTCCCTTTTCATACCAAAGCTAGAGTTTGTAAAATATTGAAATAGAAGCGTAAGTTTAGCCACTCAATAATCAAGGTATACCTACCCTCTACAATTGTAGATCAATTGACTTTAATACATAAAGTGAGTTAATTACTCAAAAACATTTAATTACATGTGATACAAGTTATAATTCCATAATTCATTTTACTTTCACATATCTCATCTTAAATCACAGAGTACATTAACACAAAACACACAGACATATGACAATGACCCAATTTATTAGTTCCCTGCTCATTGTCACAATTGTGACAACTACATGATAATGGCACATTCACTATAATGACTTGTCACAAACTTAACCACCATGCGACACATTGGATAGACACTTATGCATGATCGATTCCACCTTATACCCTCTTTATATCTTTCAACTGAACTCGTGATCCAAGAGTAAGTTCTGTAATCTTTAGCCGGATTACAAATTACAATTGGTGAGCTTAGATAGCCCTGTCACGTGGATGAAGCCCTGCTTGATATTATACCTTGCTCTTGAGTTTCTGGAGTATCAATAAATAAGTGGAGATAGATGGGTTTTAATCCCTTGACAAATAATAAGACAGTCTTTTGACAAAGAGTAGGATAAGACTATGCCTTTGTGCACCCGTAGGCAGCTGTATATACCATATGGATTTTATCTACTCTTCTCCCCAGGCAAACTTCTGCCAACCGATCATGCAATTTACAATGTTTGCTCATTTTAGAATTTCATTATTTCAATATCAACACATTAGGCTTACGATAATACGTTACCCAAATGAGCATCAATATTATCATCACAATATTCTCCCTTTTGAATTTTAAATCATCAATGTCTTCTTTCGAACATAATCATCACATCATATATAATGACATATTCATATACATATACATATACATATACATACATATATATATATATATATTCATAGTTTTGAAAATCATTTTGAATTTAACTTTTCATTTCAAGTCAAAACACAATTATGCATATTCACAATTTATTCAATCATCAAGGTTTAGGACATGCTTTCACATTCACAATTCAACCATCCACGTAAACATGCACATTTTTAATTCAATTAACAAACAACTATCAAAAATAGAGTTTTTTTGATTACGTCAAACTTTTGAGAGGTAAATGATTTACCTCTCAATATAGGCTGCCAAGCTTGCTTTCCCAAGCCAAAATAGTACCCGAACGATTAATCTATAATTAATCAAATTCAAATTCATCAATGTTATCAAATATACACTTCCAACTCTTAATTTCTACTGCTAAAACACTCAATACCCTTATTTCTTACATTTAACCCTACCTATTAGATTTATTAACTCTCTTTAGCTCCTAATAACTTTATTAAACCCTCAAACTATCATTAATGGTTCCCAACAAACTTCAACTTCTGCATTTATTTCAATTTTCGGGCATTAATGTCCTCCCAACTATCCAAACTTGTAAACTCATAAATATTAAATTTAGATGCCTCAAACAACTCCAATTAATTCTATTTAAATCAATAAGGTTGAATCTAAAACTCAAATGATTTTAAAATTACTTTTTTCATTCAAACTTTAACTCAAATCTTAAAAAAAAAAAAAAAGGAAGAGAAAGGAGGTTCACTAAATAATGCATCATTGCAGCAATCAGTTTCCTTGGGTTCAGGTTCTCCGTAGCCATCCATGACCCCACAATCTCACATGCTCGAGGGCAATAAGGTCTGGGCAAAACTTATACTGCATAATAAACCCAATATTTTCTACATATGATTTTTTAAACAATAATTATTGACTCCAATCTATAATAGACGTAGCAACCACTTAAGCTCAGGAGGTAAGATATAATAGACAAATAAACTTTCATAAACAAAATCATAAGAACTTGAACAGTACCTGAAGGTCTACAGGCATAGCAAGTTTCTGAAGCACTTCCAATGCTTTTTTCACTTCTCCTTGCTGAATTGAAGTACTTTGATGCCTCCTCAGTCAACCAGTACAATAGCCGATTCAAACAAACATGCCAAAGAAAACGAACAAATGAACGTGTATCTAGGCTTAAACACTCACTTCTGAGCTTATCTAGCCAGCGACCAATACTGTCGAAAAAGGCCCATCACCCAATATTCTACGCTGCGTAGCCTTTTCAACCCAAAATTCTCTATCCCATGGCAGCACATCAGTGCAGTGATCGGAGTTTGCTCCTTGCTCCGGCAATTAAGCATGCCAACAGTGAGTCGGCAATGAAGGAGGAGAGCGATGCCAAGAGGGAGAGGATTGAGCTGGCGTGTGAGGTGTGATAAGGATACAACGATCAGGATCGCAAATATAAATGGACGATGGAGATTTCAATAATAATCAAAGCGACATAGTTATAAAGAAGCAGAGGAAAATAAAGGGAAGTGAGGCATTGGAGAAACCCCGAGGTCGACGAGGCATGTGGGACCCATGTGGGAACTGAGTTGCTGCCATGTGCCAAAGAGCTCATTTGTCAGACCCACCACGTAGGACCCACCCCGTACTGCTTGCTAGTGGCCTTCTCCTACATTTATACTGCTTTTACTTCCTCCACTCATAAGAAAAGGTTTCGTCCATTATTTATTCCCTTCCTCGCGCATCCCATTCTCTCCTTGACAGCTTAACGCACACATACTCTCTCTACCATTCCTCTCCTTACTTATCGGAGTTAGGTGGCACGCATGTCGAAACAGACTTACAGAGTCTGCTGCTGCCACCGGGGGTTCAGGCTTCGTGGCTCCGAGGCACCGCCGGAGATCAAGTCGCTTTTTGATCACTACTCTGAGAATGGCTTTATGACTGCTGCTCACCTCCAGAGGTTCTTGATTGAGGTCCAGAAAGAAGAGAAGGCCACAGAAGATGAAGCCCAGGCCATCATCGACGGCCTCAAGCATATGATTAGCTTTCATCGGAGGGTTCTCGCTCTTGACGGTTTCTTCAAGTATCTCTTCAGTGATCAAAACCAACCTCTCTCACCTTCTCTTGGGGTAACTTTTTGGCTTTTTTTTTTTTTAATCCCTTCTTCTGTCCCCATTTTGTCATGTCTAATTTAATATTTGTGTCGCCGACAGCATCAGGCAGCTCTGATTTAGCATCGTTTACCTTCCATGTGGCACTTCTAATGGATTTTTCATCATTGATTGTCCTCTGCTTCCATGTTCTAACTATTTCAGTACTCGCACGTGGTTTATTGTGCTATAGCTCGTTCTTTCACTTTTTCATTGTTGATGATGATGTTAATGCCCAGCTTTATGATAATTCCCGTTGAGTTTTTTTTTTTTTAAAGTGCATTGTGGCTGAACCCATAGGCAAAACGATGATTAATTGAGGCTGCGTTTTAACTTTCTAAGAAACGACGACAGAACAGGATGATAATTAATTGTCTCAAGTATGGGTAAATGCATCAAACTTTAATCTGAAAACAAATGCTTTTTTTTTTTTTTTCAAGTGCTGAGTACTGAGGTTGCGTTGATGGAAATAAGAATCCAACCATTTACTTTATAATTAACTTCACAGACACTACACCGGATATAACCATATCTACGGATATGCATTTCTCTTAACAACGTAGTCAATTGCAGTTACTATTTGTCAATTGAGGAAACTACTCTTGTGGCACCTTTCCTCTAGCAATCTACCGTTAGAAGGGTTTTATCTAAACCTTCACAAGTTATTGTCAAACTTCCATATATTTTTCATTTTAGTCCTCTGACAATTGTGTTTCGTCTAATTCTTTCTTGTCTTTTAGGTACACCATGATATGACTGCACCGTTGTCTCATTATTTCATATTCACCGGACACAATTCCTACCTCACTGGAAATCAACTCAGTAGTGATTGCAGTGATGTTCCCCATTGTACGTGCCCTGCAAAGAGGTGTAAGAGTGATAGAGCTGGACATTTGGCCCAATGATACAAAGGATGGTGTGCATGTTCTTCATGGAAGGTATGAAGCTTTTTTCTGATTTTTTCCTTTATTTCTTTCTTCTAGAGGTAGAACTCATAAAAGCCAAGGCAACAGACGTTAAAATCATCTTAATTGTCTTTTTCTGCTTTTTTTTTTTTTTTTTTTGCTGTCATGAGGTGTAAGCATATATTGCTTTTAGAAAAATAACAAAACCTTGCAAGGCAGGATACCCCGTCAGAATGGATGAAGCCTTCCCTTCTCTTCACTTTAAAACTTATGTTGGCCTAAATCAGTTTGTAAAGAGGGGGATAACAACTTATTATAATACTTTATCTATATTTTTTTCGTAGGACGCTGACTGCTCCTGTAGAGCTTATCAAATGTCTGAGGTCCATTAAGGAGCATGCCTTTTCTGTGTCTGAATATCCAGTTGTAATAACTCTAGAAGACCATCTTACTCCAGATCTGCAGGCTAAAGTGGCTAAGGTTAGATATTTTGTGTTTGTGTTGGATTTAAAATGCATGTGTTCTTGTAGTTGACCATTCCTGCTCCAACTTTTTAGATGGTCACTCAAACATTTGGAGACATTCTATTTTTGCCTGGCACGGAATGCTTGAAGGAATTTCCTTCTCCAGAATCACTTAAAAGGAGGATTATTATATCAACCAAACCGCCTAAGGAGTACCTTGAGGCTAAAGAAGTAAAGGAAAGTGGGGACGAGACACTGAAGGCAAAGACCTCAGGTGATGAAGAAGCTTGGGGGAAGGAAGTCCCAGGCTTGAAAGCTGGCGCTTTAGCTGATAACAAGGTCTGAGACTCTGAGGCCATGCTGCATATAAAATATAGATTGCCACTAAGCTTAGTTTTGTGTGGGAGTTATAATGAATGACTTTCTTGTTTACCATTTTCTGCAGAACCATGTGGATGAAGAAGAGGTTATTGAAGAGGAGGATCTTGATGAAGCAGATAAGTCACATCAAAATGGAGCTCCCGAATATAGGCGTTTGATTGCCATACATGCTGGAAAACCCAAAGGTGGAATAGATGAACTTCTGAAAGTGGATCCTGATAAAGTGCGACGTCTAAGCTTAAGTGAGCAAGAGCTTGAGAAAATGTCTGTAACTCATGGCAAAGAAATTGTCAGGTATTGATAAATGTTTCCAAACGGTTCATCGTAAAAGAACTCAGTATTTTAGCAGTATGACTTGAGCTAGCGTCCTATAACTTTTGAGCTTCTTCTAAATTTGTATTCCCTCTGTCCCAAATTATAAGGCACTTTTGAAGGAGTTTCTCTATCTCAAAATATAAGAAACTTTGGATAGATTAAGGTTTCATTTAATGCACCAATTTCAATATTATCTTTTCTCTTTCTATAATAAATTTCTGCCCCTTTTCTTTTTAATATATTAAATGATGAGTTTTTTTGAAAGTTTATATTTTTATTTTAGAAAGATAAGATTGTTAAGTATATTTAATGAGGTTTATTGGTATGTGAGATTTTATATAGAAGTGTCTTATAATTTGAAATGAAAGGAATACTTCTTTTCTTTGTGCCAATGTACAAGTGGCCAAGTTTGACTTTTATTTGGGTCTTATCACCGTCTTTTTGTTTGAAGTGTCTATTCCCCAAGTGAAATTTATAGGCTCCACACTGGCACTTGGCACTCTGCATTGTGGTCTGACTTCGTATTTCCTGCAAGAAGTGATGAGTGTTTAGGCTATATACTCGGTAACGAAGTGGTTACATGACAAACAATTTGGGTGTGCAATAATATAATTCAGGTGGCATATCTAGTGGTTATTTCAATCTTGGAGACTTTTTGCATTTATTGTTAGATGACATATATAAATGTATAAGTAGAGAAATGACGAAGTATCGATTTCTTGATTATTGGTGTACTGCAGGTTTACTCAGCGGAATATCCTGAGGGTCTATCCAAAAGGTACACGCATTGACTCATCAAATTATAACCCACTAATTGGGTGGATGCATGGAGCTCAAATGGTTGCATTTAATATGCAGGTTTTAGCTCTTACGTCCTTTCTTTTTTCTGATTTAATTTCTTACTGTTGAAGGATGTCTTGGGTTTCATTAATTACGCCACCATGAATGAGTGGTGATTAGTGAAGGGATTTATAACGTTAGAAACACCAACAGGAGACGCTAAACGAGTGAGTTCAATCACCAAAACACTTGGAGACAGTCCTTCTGTTGCTAAGCTATGATGTTATACTTCGATGTTTGAAGTTGGTGTATTCAATGTTAGAAGTTAGTGTATTCTAAGGTCTGCGTCATTTCAGTAGATGAGGAAGCAAGTCTGCATTCACGCTACTTGCAGCTATACTGTTGTATAAGAAAGGTGGGAAAGGGAGAGAAAGAAGGGAAACAGAGGGACATAGAGAAGAGGGAGAGAGGGGAGAGAAAACAGAAGTCAGTTTCTCGTAACTTATAAGCCCTTGATTACAAACTAACCCAACCCATCTATTTATAGTTATTTAATACCCTTAACCCTTATTAACTACCTAACTTCCGAATTAATTCATATTCCCCTATTTATTACATAGCATGTACACTATAGGAAAATACTCTATATCCAATAAAGACTACGAATTATTGACCATGATATGTTTAAGATCATGAAAGATATTCACTAGTCAGTTTTTTAATGCGTGAATCATGTTATTGACCAAGATATGTTTACGATCATGAAAGAGTTTACAGTTTACTTGTCAGTTTTTAATGCGGGCTCTTTCATGATAGGGTTATGGGAGATCACTTTGGGTGATGCAAGGAATGTTTAAAGCCAATGGTGGATGTGGTTATGTTAAAAAACCAGATTTCCTACTGAAGACTTTCCCGAATAATGAGTTCTTTGATCCTAAAGCTACGTTACCTGTTAAGACTACATTGAAGGTGAGAGCTTGGCCTGGAGACATTATAGAGTTTAGTTCAGGTGAAGTTTCCGAGGTTCTGATCCTAGTTGTGTTTGATACTTCTCTAACTCTTGCTTAGGTGACCGTATACATGGGAGAAGGATGGCATAATGATTTCCATCAAACCCACTTCGATCAATTCTCACCTCCGGACTTCTACACAAGAGTGAGTTAATATGATTTTTTTCCTTTATTTTTTAGGGATGAAAAGAGAGGATGATATGATTTGTTGCATCATAATATTTCACATGGCTGAATCCCATATTCTACATTTAACTGTTACTTCATTTGGCACTTGATTCTTCTGTACTTGGCTCCCTCATGTGACCACGTTCATCCTAGCAATAGATGCTGCATATGATGAACTACCTCGGCTGGATCTTATCTATCTCTCCTTTGCCATAAAACCCGATTATAGTCACAAATGAACCAATTCTCAAGTCGATCCCCTTTAAAGTTTGGTTTTTATTACTGTGCATGTCAGTCTAGTCTAGCCTCTATATTAGCAACTTGCTAATAAATTTAATGACAAGGCACGTTCTCTAATGGATGTAGGATGTGCCATGTGCCAAGCCAATAGATTACAGAAGGACTAACCGAACTCTAATGGAACTAAATTGGGAATTTGACAGAGGACTAAAACAGAGTTCTAGTCCTTTCTTTCATCTTCACCACACTCATGCCATGACTTCATTTTGATGAATCTCGATGCAGGTGGGAATAGCAGGAGTACCAGGTGATAGTGTGATGAAGAGGACAAAAGCAATAGAGGACAATTGGTTTCCTACATGGAACGAGACATTCGAATTGCCTCTCACCGTTCCAGAACTGGCAGTGCTTCGAATAGAAGTTCATGAGTACGATATGTCAGAAAAAGATGACTTTGGTGGCCAAACATGCCTACCTGTTCCCGAGCTAAGAAGTGGAATTCGAGCAGTTCCACTACATAGCCGCAAGGGTGAGAAGTACAACTCCGTGAAGCTCCTTATGCGCTTTGAGTTTCTGTGATTTTATCGTGTACAGTAGTAGACAAGTGCTTGTAGTAACTGTATAAATATCTTGAGATGTGCTTACTGGTGTAATAATTAATCTATAAAACTTATGTGTATTTTCTTATTACCTGTATTCGTTGTTTTAATCTTTCAGTTTGTGACCTGTTAGGCCTATTATGGTCATTGTCATGAAAAAAAAAAAAAATCATTGCTTAAACTAAAGTAGTTGTGGATATTTATAACACTTGAATATCAGTGAAGAAAAAATTTGCACAAGAAAAATTGTAATTTGTTGTTTCATCTAATCATTGCTAAAAAAAATAGTAATTGTTTAAACTAAAGTAATCATTAATATTTATTTTTTTATTGTAAATTGAGGGCATTTTAGTTATTTTACAAAAAATTATTAATATCCTAGAGGTTTCTAGAGACTTGAGAAGAATCATAATATTTTATAAGATCTCATTGTTATTTGAATATTTCAAGTGCATTCCCCCTTATACTTTCTTTCAAAGAATGCTGGGCATTCTGTGGTAGTAAGTGGGGCATTTGTTTCCTTAAATTATTTTTTAAAGAAGTAAAAATTCCCTTCAGTGAATGAATCACTAACTAGAATCGGTAATTCAGGCCAAACCGAACGGGTTAATCCGAACCTGTCTAAAAAAATTTAGGACTAGGTCTAGAAAAAAAAAACATACCTTTTTTTATGTTTAGACCTATTTGGGTCAGCTCGAATAGGCCTAGAAAAAATTCGAGCCAAGCCTGATCAGGTTTGGGCTTGGCCATAATACTTGAATAAAATTTTTTATTTTTAAAAAATATATAAAATATAATAAATATAATTAATTATTTAAGTTTTAGGTTATTTTATACTAAAATACCATATATTTGAGTCCTATACATTGTTTAAATATAAAAAAATATATTTTATATTTTTTATAAAATAAAATAATTAAGTAAAGAAATTAATTAAAAATAATTTTAAAAATAAAATTCAGGTATTTGGGTGGCCCGAAGTTAGAAGAAATTTTAGCTAGGCTTGGCTATTCAAGTTTTTCAGGGAGTCGGGCTAGTTCGAGATCGGGCCAGGCCAAAATAGGCCAGGCTCTCCTGAATTCCCAGCTTTATTCCTAACGGAAGGGGGTTTTTGCTCATTTGAAAAATAGTTTAGAAAGAAAAATGCCCCACTTATTAATACAGAATGCTCAACGCTCCTCAAAAGAAAATACATGGGCAAAAATGTATTTTAATCCAAAAATAAAATTGGACCGTAGAATTTAAAAACTAATATTTTCTTATACTCTAACATTTTAAATTGATTTTTCCCAAATTATAAAATTTCACAACCCACTTTATCCATTAAATACATACCATTATAGAAAAGAATCTACTGTAGTAATAAAGAATACACCTTACTTTTCAAAATATTACCATAATAAATAAAGATTTATTGAGAAAGAAAAGGCTTTAAGTAATATTTTAAAACTCTATCATAGAATAAAGGGGTTAGAATGGTAATTGATAATTAAAATTATTTTTATGAAGTTTATTATGATAGAATGAGTTTTTCTTACAATATAATATTTCTTGAATGGGTTACCATGGTAGAAAATGATTTGCTATGATAAAAGAGTTAAACTTACTAAAACAAAAGAGTATCATGATAATTTAGAAAAAAACTAGGTATATTAAGATGAATTAAGTAGTTGTAAACTTAAAACATGTGTACCTAATGAGATACCATTGAATACAAGTAATAATTTACCAATTAAACATTTTGCAAATAAATCAAAAGGAAAGCGTGGTTTTTAAAAAGTTAGTTTGTCCAAAACTAAGTTATAAATGGTTAAAAGGGGTCAAAAGGGTTCATTCTAGACATAAATTTTTAAACAAGGCAATTTTGAAAAAATTATGCCATGCACTACAGCACATGGAACAAAAAAGACAATCACTTCTCCATAATGTGCTATGTAGCTTGCACAACATATGTTACGGTGCATAAACTATATCAGCACCATGCAAACTGTCAAAAATCAAAAACTTTAGATGTGCATAACTTTTAGGCCACAACTTCAATTTTGAGTGATTCAATTATTGACACAAAACTTATTTTAAAATCTAGCTATTAATTTTAGTTTGGTATCAAAACTTTTCCATATGAGACTTTTGTCCACTAAATTCTATTTTGGGCGAAAAAACACTTTTTCCTAACACCAAACACCTCCAAAATATAACTAAAGTCCTAGCTCGTAAGACACTTGACTAACTCAAATTCACTTCAAACAACAATTTCACAATCACAACTTGACACATGCATATGAAATTCTTATAATTAAATTACAACCACCTAACACAATTATATATATATATATATATATATATGAAATGCAACAATATGGCAAATCAAGATATTTATAATTCTAACTACTTGTTAGTCATAAACCATAAATTGGAAAAACCATCAATGTTGCAAAAATTTGTTCATGGCAATTAATTGCAAAATATCATCCAAACAATAGAGTCAAATGCTCAAATATAATTTAAATGTTTTTGAATTGGCAACTTACACAAATTAATCCAAGAAGGGGCCGACATGACCTATCGATGTCTAGTCACACCAACTATGCTTTCAATACTTCTTAGGTTGAATTATTTCTTGTAAAAATGTTAATTACAAGGAATGAGACTTAAAAGCTTTAGTAAACAAAATTAACAAGCAACTATGCATATAATATAACCTATCATGTTATTGCTAAGTAAGACATATAAAATATTTTTCAATAAAGGATATATCCAAACAAAAACTCACAATTTATATTTTTAGCATGACAACACTTTATATCCTTCCCAACTCTATACTTATAGTTAAATCACCTGGAAAAAGGTGGGTTGGTCCAAGCTAATACTCAATTATTGAGTGCAATGAAGACTTACCACATGATAGAATAATAACTTTGGACAAAATACCTAAACAATGCATTTTTTCAAACAATCTTTACATGTAAATGCTTTCAAACATACTGAACAATTAAATGCTTCCCAATGATAATCATTTCTAAACAAAATACATATATTTACATACACAATATCATCCCACTTGGCAATTATTCTTTCTAAGACAACATAACATGCTTTCTCAACATATTTACTTCCAAACAAAACAAACACTCATAACAAATCATGGAAACACACATAATCACACTTTAATAGTGGTTAATTTACTTTCTTGCAATTAAAGCTCCTCACATAAGAGTACATTCACCTTAGTATTTCTACCACAATCTATATACATTGCAAGGCTGGCTAGTTAATCAAATGTTATTTAACACTAATCAACATGTTAGCACACTAATCACGCCCTAATTCTAAAGTTAGGTTAATTAACTTAGTTAGCCTAAAGTTGTTACCACCATTTAAAACACTAAACAAAGTCATAATCATCCTCATCATTACTCCTAATCCCTTATTTAACCTCTACACAATCCAAATTATTATTGAATCACCTAACTACAACTAAGGTTTCGAATTTCACCCTTCAATACCATAAACAACCTCAAAACAATTTAGATCATATTTATTTAACCTTAAAACTCCTATAAGATTTGAACCCTAAGGCTAGTTACTCATGAAAATGCAACCCTAACCTTAATCCCTATGAAAAACGAGCTAAATGAGAGAAGTATAAGTTAGAAGTGAGATTAGATTGATTACCTACTTGAGTGATTGGAGCCTTAAATTTGTGCACAATCAATGATAGCCCCCAAACCCTAACAAAGCATTCAATTTTCACTCAAATCCTAACCAATTCTCTCCCCTTTTGTCTGATTTTTCGAACAGCAATTAAATGTATATTTTGTATCGTGTGGTATCGTGGATGCATCATGCACTGTAGTATATTGTACAAAAATAGGACACTCCATCAAGTCCCATAATTTATGCTCCAATTCGGCCCATTACCTAACTTGAACTCTATTAAATCTCAATATAAATTTAGGCTCAATTTAAGTTATAATTCAATATTTATATGCATGATTATCATCAAATAACACCGAATACAAATTTATTATCTAATTAGACCTCAAAAATAATACCAATCCTCAATCAAATTCTCCAATGATATCTCAATTTTTTCAATTAAAATTATATTTAAAAATTAAAATGCTACAAAACTCAATTTTATTATTGGAAAATTTTTCAATTCCATTATATCAAATAAATATTTTTTTTTTTGAATTTTGTTTTCATCTTCATATATCACTCTAGGCCCAATTTAAGTCCTGATTTGATACTTATATGATGAATATCATCAAATAACATAAAATACAAATTTATATCTCATTAGACCTCAAAAATAATATCAATCCTCAATCGAATTCCCCAATGATACCTCAATTTTCCTGATTAAAATCATATTTAAAAATCAAGATGCTACGGAACCCAATTCTATTGTTGTAAAATTTTCCAATTTCATTATACCAAACAAATATTTTTCTGAATTCTCTTTTCATCTTCATATCCATCCTTCCCATTTTTATCATACCAAATGAACCCTAAAAGTTATGAACTTTGACGCACCGACGCGAGTTAATAATTCCGCACTGGGTTATCCCAAAGAAAATTCATACTTCAATTCCTTCACGAACCTTCGAAACTTGTCTGACGACCAAGTCCCATGAATCTCTCTACTAAACCAACAACGTATAAATTGGTCATTCCCATTTCCACCGTGTAATAAATAACCAGAAATACCAATTCCTCTGGCGTTAGAAAAGTTGAATCTTCTTTGGTCAAAGTTGCGCCCAACACTTAAGTCAGGAGAGATAATTCTAGTAGGGGAAACTAAAGATTAGTCTTTTTCTGCTCTAGCTGGGGACCATTGTTAGAAACATGATAGTGAAGGAAAAGTATTAATTATGATACATGTGGGCTCTATGTACCAAATAGCTCAACCACTCGTCGTACACAGAGCAGCGGCGGGAATGCCAACCTATCTGCTGTTTCTTATGCTCTTTAATAGACATTCCTTTCTTCACATTCGTCTTTTCCAATCTGTTCTCTTCATTTGGACGGTGGACGCTTCCTTATCTGATTCTCACCAGAATAGTGAGAGCTTGATGTGATATTCTC